AATAATCTTTTAATTAATTAATTAATTAAAGTTTTGTAAATTTAATTTATTTTTGCTTTAATATTCTTTATTGTAATATTATATTGTATCTTTTTAAATTAATTATTTACTTTAAAATTTCCAAATATTATAAATTAATTATTATAAATATCATTTTTTATTTTTATTGACATTTTATATTTAAAAGATGATCAATCAATTTTTCCTGTATTAGACAAATTTCTAAGTAAATTTGTTATTTGAAGACAATATCTAATCAATTATACCTTTAAAATAAATTTATATTATTAATATTAATTTATTATAAATATACTTACTTATGTCCATGTTTTATGGAAATATTCCTTTCATATAATCATTATCTTATATGTTTGATTTATTAGTTCTACTACAAATAAGTCGGATTATTATGGCTTTTATTTTTAAGTATATTACAACTAAGGCATTTATTATTGTAAAAGATTAAAAAATTAAAATAATTGCTATTGTAGTGATGTCCAAAATTGAAGGATTCTTGTATTACTTTCCAGTCTCAAGTTCAACAGTTAGAGAGTTTTAGTTTACAGCTATTAAGATATATAAACTGCTTAGTAGTATCTCAGAAAAAAAATTGAACATAGTTTTTTGTTTAGTATCAAAAATTTGAAAAATAAGTATAATCAATAGAAAGATAATTGATAGTCCACATCCTATAAACAATCCTACTTTGTTTTGGAATTTAATTAAAAAAAATACACAAATTATTTTCCTGAACTCAATGAGCACCCAGATAATATATTTACATCCTTAATTTAAATTTATATCTCTAATCAAAAAGTTATTGCTTGAAGATTTTTAAAAATTTATTGATTCATTTAGCATATGTTTCGTATCTGTAGAAATATGAGAAGATTATTTTTGGAGTTGAAAATATTTGAACACCTCTTTACAATGATAAATTAGGCTGACAATAAAGAAAATAATTATTAGACTATCTACAGAAGCTGCAGTTAATGCTTTTACATTTGAGTTGAGTTAATCTAATTGTAAGAAAACCCATATAACAGAGAAGGTTACTTGAGTTGAAAGTAACCTTGACGCAGTTATAAACATGAATGCTTGAAATTAATTAAAAAAAGAATTCTTTTACAAGCCTTTTATAATCATACTTGCTATTTTAAATAAAAGTAAAGCAATCAATATAATACCACTTACAATTAATTAATTTATTATTCCCTATGCGCGAAAATTTTCAGATTAACTAATTTTTATATTACCAAAAAATTTAAAATTGTAGTTATTATATTCATTCAAGAGTTCTATTCTCAAATCTTAGATATCATCTGGCAATATTTCTGAAATTAAGCCTATCTATTGTTGTAAAATAAATGAATATTGAATGTAAGGGAAAAATGGAGTAATCGCAAGTACAAGCTACATATAAAAAGATAAATTATGAAGAACAGTTTTAAGAGTCAAAAAGGATTAGCTATAAGATTATTATATAGCCTAACAATCTATCTATCCGGTTTCTTCATAGCCATAAATGCAATTGCAAGAACTATCTGTTAAATTAAATTATCTCGTAGGTGAACTGCATAAACTACAAGCTGTAGATGAATTCGGAATTGTACATATTTAGCAACTAAAATGGCAAGGGAATTAATCCTCATATTATTTGCAATCTTATTTGTTAGAGCAAAAATAACAATATTAGATGCAACTTTATGTGCAGTCATTTGTGACATCATCAAAGAATTTTCCACTATTAAAGAATTTTAATTAAGATAAATATTCTTCAAAAATATTAACGAAATTTATTTATAAAAAAGGGAATTTTATATTTAATTTGTAAGATCATAATTTTTAATTTACTTTCCACAGAATTTACAAATACCATTTACTAATTTGTAACCCTAATAGCATTTTAAGCATTGAGGAAGTTGTTCATTCGGTATTTCGCAATTAGCAATTTATGGATTTTAAATGCATTTCTTTAGATACTAATCCATGTAATACGATCTATCCTAACAAATGCATTTATCATTGACTAATATAGAGTTTTGAGGACAATCACAGCCTTTTTATGATAAAACATATTACATAACATTTTTATCTCTACATTCACATTTAGAGCTTGTTACATTGAAAAACATGCTAGGCATGCAATCGCATTTATCTTCTTAAAAAATCATATTGATTTCATCCAAACATACACATTTATTTTAATAAAATTTCATGGTTGTAGTATCTTTACAGTCACATGAAGATTTGTCTAAATTTAATATCATAGTTTAGCTATCTTAGCAAATACAACTATTTTATTAATCGTTGATTTTCATTTTTATTGGATCGTTGAAGGAGCATTTTTATTTTTGTAAATCGATCGTCATAGTTAATTTATCTTTACACTCACAATTATTGTTTGAAAATTAAATATAGCTATTGATGTCGTTATAATTGCAGCATGATTATAATGAATTGCAATCTAAACAATTATCACACTTTACACAATTTTATTTAGCTATTAAATAATCAGGTTTTTATTCACTGCAAACATATTTTGTAGGATAATCTTACTTGCATATTTTTTTATCAGATAAATAGTAAGGATAATTATCATTGCAAGTTAAGCATTCAGTAGCTTTATCACATGTTATACAAGATATATCACATATTTGACAAGTGAGAATTTGCCTTTATGAATCTAATAATTAAAAATAACCTGAAGGACATTAATCAACACAAGTATCTTTAAAGTTTATTTTATTATTATCACATTATTTCATTTGAAAAAAAAGAATTGAACTTGTGTAGCCATATACAATAGGATCACCTTGTTTTGAGTAAATCAAGATAATATTTGTAGGTAGACTGTTTTAACTTTAACTTAGCTCTAAATTAACCGTGTTTGATTTTTAACCTAAAATATATCCAGTAAGACCAATCATAATAAATGTAATGTTTTTATTAGCAGCCAATAAATACGGAGCCATTATTTATTAATAACCACTATTAATTAATGGATTTTTTGAATTAGAAATTTATTTGAATTAATTATCATTAATTTAAAATAAATAATAATATGGATTATTATTTGTATTTATATCATTTTCATAAAAAACATAATTAATTTTCAAATAAGTAATGTCATCTTTACTAGTTGTGAAAAACTCAAATGTAAAAGATCCTTAATTTGCTGTAGAATTTTAAAGCTCTATACTTTAAGTCTATTAGCAGTCCTAATATTAATATCCAATTAAATAGGCAAAGACTTACATATTAGGTTTTGCATTTATATCTGGATAAGTGTACATAAATATATTATTTTAAAAATTTATATTCTGTTAAATCTCCACTACTTAAACAAAAAATGTATCAATACATATTTCAGCATATTAAAAAGAAACCTAATAATTCTGAGTAGTTTGAATATTTGTCTCAAATTAAACTTATTTATTATCGTTTGAAATATTTTATTTTATTTAAAATCCCATTTAGTTAGTAGGGAAATATAAAGCAGTATTTGCAATCAAAATTTTACGATAAGAGCAATTCAGAGTAAAACTTACTGTTTATTGTGGCTATGATTAATTTAAATTTATTGAGTTAATACTCACTTTATCATCAAAAGGATATACTTATTAATAGCTAAAAGGTAAATAAACCAGCATCAAATAAATGATAGAAAATACCATTTTTATTTTATTGATTTGTTTTTTTAGGTAGTATTTTGTTTTTCTTCTTCTTATCAATGTTATTCTCAATTAACAATTGATTTTTTTAAATTCTTTTAAGCTAAATTTTAGATAGGTAGATAGATACACTTCTGGTATGATCAGAAAAATTCTTTTTAATTAAATCTTTTCTAAATTACTATTTGAGTTACAAATTTTTATTATGTTTTTTCCAATTAAATTTCTTATCTAAAAATAAACAATTTCAGAATTCGTAAGATACCCAAATGAAACAAACATATTAATTTAAATTGAATGGTTAATTTATTTAATAATAACCTTATGCAAACAATTTTTAACAAACATTCTCAAGATTTCAAACATAAAAAAAAAATAAAATAATAAAAGCCAAAATAATTAAAAGATATTGAAATTTTTTCTTAATTTTCTCATGCCATAATTAAAATTTTGAGAATTATCAAAAATAAATTCTTTTATTTTATTTGTGAAATACTTATGATGAATTAAACTTCAAAAAATACTCTTTTTTATAAATTTATCTTTATAATAAAAATATATATCATTCTTTACTTAATTTAAATTAAGAAGATTCTAAAAAAGAAATTTTTGAAATATATTTTAGGCATTCTTTAACTAAGAGTTAATTTTTTTGTTAAAAACAACAAAAATAAAACATTTTTGAATAAATAAAACTAATTTTGACTGTAAATATTTTTAAATTTTATGAATAAATTTCTAAAGGAGATGTAGAAAGATCTTTAGATAAAAAATATTCTTTAATTCATTAAATAAAAATCTTGATCTTTTAATTGAAAAAAATTAATTTAAAAACTGAATTACTGTAGATTCTTATAAATTAAAGGCCAAATAAATTAAGGTCATTTTATTAGAAATTATGAATTAAGTTTGAAAGTAACAAATTTTGAAGATAGAAAATTTACTTTGAGTTAGTATTGTATTTACAGTGAATTAGTTTTTTATTGAATTTAAATAATGTTTATTTCGTAAGTAAATAAATAAATAACTTTATAGATTACTAAAAAATTATCAAACTATACATGTGGAATTGAAATATTTATCAAAAAAAATAAAACATTTGACTAAACTTTTTATTTTTTGATGAAAAAATTTATAATATATCATTAAATATTAAAGTAATTAAGAAGATTTTAGAATTAAATATTTTAATTTTTAACTAACTTTAAATACAAATTAAATAATATCTAAGATACAAGTATTAAATAAGCTCTTATTCAATAGTTTTTACCTTTAAATGACTTTTAAAATTTTCCAGATTGATCTAAAATTTAACTTATAGTACCTATTTTTTTGAGAAATAATAATTTATAAAAGTATTTAATTTTAATTTAATTTACTAATATCAAATTCTTTTGGGAAGTTGTTCATATAAAGTTCGTGCTTGATGCTAAGTTCAGCTATCTTTTTGCGACTAATTTAAATTGATTTAAAAATCATATAATATGAATTTAATGATAATGTGGTATCTAGAACCTGTCGAATTATTAAGATAACAATCAAAACTATTTCAAAAGCAGTTGGAGAAGAATAGACTTTCTAATTATATTTTTCTTGATTTTAAAATTTTACAATTAAAAAATTAAAAATCAAAATTATAAAACTGAATATCTCAGCTGATATAACAATAAGAGAATGTCTTTTATCAATAAATATTTTAAAAACTAGTTGGGCTATTAAAAAAATTATACTTATACTTCCCAAGCATATGAAACTCCAAAATTATTAACTAAATTAATATATCACAAATATAGATACTATTTTACGAATTTCTATTATAACCCAAAGAAAGATGCTAAAATTAATAAATTTATTTAAGTTTATTGTTATACTTAAGTATTAGTTAGGGTTGAATTATTTTTAAATCAAAAGCTTAATCATAGTAATACTAGATCCATATTCGAGAATTTCTTTTTATTTATATACTTAAGCAGTAACAAATAATATATACAAGTAGTAAATAGCCACTAGTGAACAAATTAGGTAATAGAATATTGATTAACTCCTATCTTATTAAT